AAGACCCCAGATGAGATGGATTGACTCAGTAACTGGGGTAATGGGGGTAGGTGTTCCAGAGACAGTGAGACAGGCTTAAGATAGAACAGAGTTCAGAGCTATTGTACATGAGTCGCAAGCGAATCAACGGCACACAACAACAACAACAACAACAACATACATCTGAAAGTTGGACGTAGAACAGGGGTGACAGATAACTGGTTCTTCTGAATTGTGGTGCTGGCAAAGAGTGCTGAATATCTCCCCAACTGTCAAAAGTACAAAGAAAGCTATCTTGAAGGAGGTTCCACCAGGAAGCTCCTTAGCGGCAAGGAGGGTGGAACTCTCTTTGGGCCTGTTGTCAGCAAGGGCCGGTCTGTGGAGAAAGAAGTCACACTGGGAGAGGCAGAGAGTTCACGAAAGAGAGGAAGAACCTTCACAAGAGGGACTGACTCCGTGACTGAAGCAACGAGCCTGAGCGTGACGGCCTGTGAGGAGGGGCAGGGCAGGGTTCAGGTTTGCTGTTCACTAGGTCACTATGAGTTCAGGTTGACTCAATGGCACCTAAAATCTGCAACGATAGAGACGCTGCCCTTGGGAACCCGCTGGTCCCCTCAGGAAGCCTGCTCCGCAGAAATCTCACAGTGCGGCAGGAGTTACGGGGAGGGACAGCTGTTCAACTGGGGGCAGCTTCACGCTGTGGGGTGGTCTCCCATCACTGCCATCTTCATGCAGAAATGGAACCACGTCCCAGATGAACTTTCAAAGGGGAACTGGGAAGGTCATGTGTGTCTCTACCTCGATGACTTTGTCCCAGATGGGCCGGTGGCCAACCGCGTCCCACAGGGTGGCGTGCCTGTCATGGCCACAGGTCAAGAATTGCGGCTTGGACGCGTGGACGGCTAGTCCCCAGAGCTCGTCGGTGTGGCCCTGTGGAGGAGGAGACAAAGGGAGCCCTGTGAAACCTGTCACCACAGCCAGGCACCTGCGGGGATAGTCACGGTGCTGCCCTGGCCCTCCCTGCTTCAAGTCTCACATCAGAGGGAACCTTGAAGGGTAGTCAGTGTTCCTTGTCCCCCCCGACAACCCCCACGGCACACCTGAGTGATGGGCGCGAAGTCCCCGGTCAGAGTGCCCTGGAGGACGAAGTTCCGAGTTGTGCCGATCAAGATCATGTCCCCTTTGCCCTCAGCCACTGTCCGGATGGGGCCATACTGCTCCGGAATCTGCACAAAGGGAGAAGACAGTCGGAACCCCGTCTGGTTATTTCTTCTCCATCACGGAAAGGACCTGCATGTATCTCGAGGTCCTCTGACCAGTCACACACCACGTGAGTGAATGACCACACCTGGCCTCCCTGTTCAATGCCCAAAGGCTCTGTGTCTCTCACGGCCACTGACACGGGTGAGGTTAACAAAAGAGCAAAGCCATTGCTATGACAAAATGAACAAGGAAGGATTAGTACTCTTTAGGACAGCGAGTTTGGGGGGCTTAGGGGTAGGGGATTGTGCTACCAATGCAAAGGTACGCAGTTCAAATCCATCGGCTGCTTTGTGGGAGAAAGATGGGCAGTCTCCTGCCATGAGACTCTCTGCCTCTGAAAACCTGCTGGAGCACCAGCTACCAGTCGATCTGACTCGACAGTTCATGACAGCTCTCCAGTATGCGCCTCACCTGACTCCTGAGAGCGAGATCAGATCAAGTGTGCAAAGCAGATTATAACATAACGCAGCCAGAAGAATGAAACACACCCACGGTGGTACAGTCACGCCTGACGTGGGGTAACCCTTCCTCAGGCTTCACAGGCTACGAATCGCCAGTAGACAATTCTCATCTTTTGCCTATTGTTGTTGTTTGGTGCTGTCAAGCACGACTCCTAGTGACCCTGTGAACCACAGCGCTGAAGCCTGTCCTGTCCTGTGCTGTCCTCACAATCTCTGACACACTCGAGCCTGTTGCTGCAGTCACCATGCCAGTCCTTCTCTGCTTTTGCTGTCCCTCAACTTTCCAGTATAATGTCCCTCTCCAAGGAACAGCCTCTCCTAGCAACAGGCCCAACGCACATGAGACGAAGCTTTCTCATCGTTGCCTCCAAGGAGTATTTTGGCTGCACCCTCTCCAAGACACGTCTCTCTGTTCTCTTGGCCATGCATCGCCAACACCACAGCTCAAAGGCATCGATTCTTCTCTGTCATCCTTATTCATAGTCCTGCTCTCAGAGAACCACAGTGTTTGGAAAGGCCACAGCCTGGATCAGGAGCACCTTAGTCTTCAAACTGACATCATTGCTACGTAGTAATCTGGACCGATCGCCAACAGTGGATTTCCCCAATCCACTGTGTCTCCTCTCCTCACTGCCGGTACTGAGGCCGCTGGATCCAAGTATGAGGAAATCACTGACAACTTCAACCTTTCTCCACCTCTCATGATGGTGCTTGTAGGCTCAGTGGTGAGGACTTTTGTCTTCAGCTTTTGGGTTGGCACCACGGCCTGGAGACTAGGCCACAGAGCTCGCCAAAGCAGGACGTAAAATACTTTCTCTGTGGGCTACATTATGCTGATCGATCTTGACGTCCCTTGAGATAATGGTCCAGGGCCCCCAGGCCTGGCCACTCATTCTCTCAAAGTGCTTGGTCACGGCTAAGAAGTTTCCATCACTCTGTCTCCCCTGGACAGAGTGGGAGAAAAATAGGGGTAAAAACTCACTATCACAGAGAAAGAGACCAGGTTTCCTGCTCAGCTGGAGACTAGCGGACCTCGCAAGATCACGGTCCTTCAGCGCCCTTTGGGCACAGGACTGAGCTCACCTCGCGGTGCACTGTCAAGTCTAAAGGCCACCACCAGGAAAGCATGACCTCCTCAGAGCAGGAAAAGCTGGAGATCAAAACGGTGGCAGCTGCAAGGGCAAAGCTCCTAAGATGGGAAAGGGGGGGGCGGGAAGAGTCAGGGGTGAGAAGGGGGTAGAGATGGGAAGAGTTGGGGGGAAGGAGGGGTGGGTACAGGAAGAGTCAGGGGGCGGGGGATGGGACGGGAAGAGTCGGTGGTCAGTGACAGGAATGCGGAGGAAATGGGATGGATTCATCGTAATTCACTGTCAGTCCTCGTCACGAAACACAGCGCTGTGGGCTGTGGGCTAGAAAGCTCATCAGCTCCGTAAACCGTCACCCAAACGTTCACAACAAAAAGTGCAAAAGAGAAAAGATCCAACAAGATCATGTCCTCTGATGAGAACGAGGCCCCAGTTAAGAGCCTGGGTAAGTGCAGGGAGGCCAGTGGTGAAGAGATGGCCTGTTGTCTCAGGTCCTCTGTCCCCAGGGTGCTGTGAACACAGCTCGGCTTCTGTGACGAGTGCACCCTGGGACACACCCCCACCCCCACCCCGGGGTGGTGCTGCCCTGTCCTGCAGGGTCACTCTGAGTTGGGGGTGACTCGACGGCAGTGGGCTTTGGGGGCTCCTCTGTTAATGGAAATATAAGTGGTCTAAACCACCAGCAGCTCCGTGGGAGAAGAAACCAGGGGACCAGCTCCCTGGAGACTCAAGACTAGGGAACCCCAAGGGGCCAGTGGGCTGTCCTACAGTGTCTCTGACACAGAATGGACCTCATGTCACTGTCAACACTGCTATGATTTTATTTATTATGTGCGTGTGCGTGTACCGTCAAATCAGACCTGACTGGTACAGGAGGAGATTGTCCCTCCTTCTCCAGCAGAGCATCTGGTGGATTTGAACTGCATACCTCTGGGACTGCAGTGCAGAACACTGCTATGATTTTAATATGTTGTCCCTATTTAGTAAAATTTTTCTAAATAATTTTGAAAACTATTCATAGTTTTGAAATTTTCAAACTCCTCATATATTCACATCAATAGAGAACGTGTTAATTACTGCAGCTTAAGGCTCCGGGGGTTCAGGAGCCCTGCTGTTGCTCACCTCGGTCTTGTGAAGTTTTTGATAGTTTCCGTTCCAAGAGATGAGTTTTCGGTCTTTTCCGCCTCCCGACACCAGTGTGCCATCCCTCAACATACAAAGTGCAAAAATACCTCCCTCGTGGGCCCCCGGCACGGCGTAGCTGATCCGATTTGTACCTGGAGTGCAGAGAACCATTGTCAGCACCCTCACAGGGGCCCCAGGCCCCTCCCCACGTCTCAGTTCACTCTTGTTAAACGTGATCTCATCAGGCAGAGCACTGCATTAGAGAAGTCAAGCAAGAGTCCAGAGCCCTGGATGGTAGGAACTGGGTTAGTTTATCACAAAGGAAAATGCACTCACACAGGCTGAGCACAGCTAAAGGGCATGGGGCGGCCGAGGAGGATGTGAGCTTAACTCCTGGCCCGTGGAAGAAGGATGGGCAGTCGTCTCCTGTGCAATTAAACTGCCTCTGAAAACCCGTCGGAGGGGCAGCTGTGGGTCGGTTCCAACTCTATGGCCCACAACAGCAACAAGAACATGGCCCTTAAAGAGCCCTGGTCTATTCGTCTATTCCAAGCAGTGGAATAGCTGGGTCATATGGAATTTAGTCTATGTTCGGTTTTTTTGAGGAAGCATCAGACTGTCTTCCAGAATGGTTGCATCATGTTACCCTGAGAATATGAGAACTGAGGCACAAACTGAGATTTGTACACCAATGTTCACAGCAGCATTATTCACCATCGCAAGAACATGGGAACAGCCCAAATGTCCAACCACAAACGAATGGATTGAGAAATTATGGTACATTCACACGATGGAATACTATGCAGCACGTAGGAGGAATAACTTTGGAAATTATGACCTAACTTGGGAGGGACAGGAGAGCATTATGCTGAGTGAACTAACTCAGTTCCGTAAGGACAGATACATTGTATAAAACTGTTACTGGAGAATGAGTATAAGGATCCAGGAGGGGTGGGAGAGGCTGGAAGCAGAGGGATGTGGATGTGGGTGGTACAATTTGATGGGTGGGGGGTGTGTGTGAGGGAAATGGAAAGAACTTGTTGGAATCTGCATATTTGGGTTTTGTAAATAAACTAGTAGGGTTGTTGTTATGTGCCGTCGAGTCGCTTGCAACTCATAGCGACCCTATGTACAACAGCCCTAAACTCTGCTCTGTCCTGTGCCAATCGCACTGTCTCTGACACTCCCATCCCAATTATCCCGGTCACTGAATCAATCCACCTCATAGAGGGCCTTCCTCTCCTGCGCTGTCCCTCCACCCTCCCAAGCATGATGTCCCTCTCTAAGGACCGGTCTCTCCTCACAACATGTCCAAAGTATGTTAGACGGAGCCTCAGAATCCTTGCCTCCAAGGAGCATCCCGATTTAACACTTTCACAAATCTGTTTGTTTTCCTAGCAGTCCATGGTATTCTCAATACTCTTCTCCAGCACCACAGCTCAAAGGCATCAATTGTCCTTCTATCCTCCTTGGTCATTGTCCAATAAACTGTGGCTGACTCTGAGAAACTAGTAGGGAGGGGGGAAAAAGCCCTGGTGGTGCACTGATGAAAATGCCCTACTTTCTCTAAGCTCAGCTGTTAACAGAAAAGCTGGTGGTGTGAATCCACCTGGTGGCTCCCTGGGGAAAGGACGCGGGAACCTGCTCCTGTAAAGATGACAGCTCAGGGAACAAACACTAAGGCGTATGGACCCCCCCACCACCACTGCCCACCCCTACCCCAGGCTCGTGAACTGCGTGCCTGTGGACAAGCTGCTTTCTTGCTCTAAGTCTGAACCTTTGTGGATGGGCCCCTGCTTCTCCCAGGGCTGTCCAGGGATCACACACACACACACATTCAGGAAAAAATTGGCCTGACAGTACCTTAGCCACTTACCTGGTGGCCTATTAGGATCAGGAGAAGAAAAAAAAAAACTCAAACAAACAAAAACCAGCTTCAAAATCATTGCAGGCTTAAGGAGCAATCTTGGTATTGTATCACTTCTTGTACTTTGTGACAACTGTGTGTAGAGGAGCGCTCTCATGGCCTAATTGTAAGAAGCGGCGCTGCTATCCCAAAGGCATGTGGTTCGAATCCACCGGCTGCTCTGAAGGAGGATGGGCAATCTCCTCCCACGCGATTAACTCCCTCTGAAATCTGGGGGAGGGTCAGCATCAGCTGAGCTGGTTCTGACTTGCAGGTACACAACAGCAACAACAACAACAACAACAACTGCATGTGGATGACACGATGGCACGCGGGCAAGGGAGTCCTGCTGGACTTAGACAGATGCACAATCTCCTGGGAGGCCACTGCACACACCACTGAAAGACCAGCCACCGACTCAGTCACCCCGGCTCCGGAAGTCTGAGCACCGCATCACGTGAGCAGAGGGCCCATCTTCCCAGGAGCGGCAGGCGGCTTCCGGCAGCAGACCGTCCCACCACCCCAACAGATGAAGTATGTGCTAAATGTTCTGTGAGCCAGAAAAATGTTTCCACTGCAGGACGGAAGGCAGGCTTCCTACCCCAAAGGGTTACTGGAAATCTCACCATCCGGCGCTAATGGCAGCTCTCCTAGGAAAGCTAACAACCCGGGAAAATGTGCTGGTTTGGCCTTATAATCCAAGAGGGTCAAGGCCTGCTGCTTTCCCCCGGTTCCCCAGTCCCTCGTTTTAGGGCGCAGACCACACGCTCACCCGACTGCGCACCCACACTGCCCCGGCCCCACAGCCCACAGTCCCAGAGTCAGTCCAGCAGTTCCCACCGAAGGGCCCCTGCCCTCCTGCCCACAGCCTGGCCACATCGGCTCCGGGGCACCCCCCCACCCCCGTTACCTTTTCCCCAGACTAAGATGTTGCCGCTTGAGTCCCCGGTAATGGTGTCGCCATTCTCAGAGAAAGTCACGCACAGCACGAACTTTGGCTTTTCTTGTTTCTGGAGGGGAAGGAAGCAAATATATTAACAGAGATGCCCTTCTGTCGCCATGAACAGTATGCACGGCCACAGAAGTCCACGTCACAGTGTCGGCCCTGCCACCGCTCCCACTGACCACTCCCTGGTCTATGCCGTGAGAATATCCGCTTGAAGACAAGGGGCGTCCCGGCAGCACCAGTGTGTGGCCCTCACAACGTGCAGGCAGCTCAGTCCGAGTGCTGGGAGACCAGGCACTCTGTTGCCACAGCTATGCCTGCAACAGCCTCCCAGGGGCACCGGACTGACCCTTTAACTCAGCCTCTGGGTGGTGGCCACAGGCCAGCAGGGAGGAGGGGGCACTGTCGGTGCTCCCACAGGACCCAAACGGAGTGAGGCAGGACACAGTGTGATACCCACTTGGTCTGTGGGTGCTCTGTGGCCGTCTGCCCTCTTCTCCTCCAGCATGACCCTTGAAACACAGGGGTTCCACTCACATCGGGGCCCCAGGGAACAATCTTCACTGTGTCCATCAGCGGACCCCAAATTGAAGAGGGAAAATCTTTCAGACTAGGGGCCCACACACCTTTGAGCCTGGCTACCCCCCAGGCACCACGGAGAGAGAAAACCCCGGTGTCAGGCTCACCTCGAAGAGCCCCTGCTTCTTGATAAGGGAGCTCCCCTCTAACGTCCAGAAGTAGAGGTGGGACTTCCCGCAGGTGACGATTATGTTGGTGTCTGTGGGGTGGAAATCTGCAGCAAACACGGCTTCGTTCGAACACTTCAAAGAAAACCAAATACTTGGTGTCACTTTAGAAGCTGAGACAGTGAAGTCTGAGCCTGGCGGGTGTGTGCAGCGTGGCCTGTGATGCAAGGATGCACCTGGCCCTAACATCAGCTTTAGGTGGCCTGGTGCCCAGTGTCGGGGTCAGCACCGGGAATTCCCATGACACTGGGTGCATTCTTGGGCCTCTGTGAGGCATGCTCAGGGCAAAGCCACCCACGGCGACCACTGCCGAGGAAGCTGCAGCACGCTCGTGACCCTTCTCGGGTATGAAAACCAGCAGGCCTGGCTGGGGCCAGGCACGTGAAGATGGCAGGAAGCATCCTGGTCAGAGCACAGGTCGTCACACAGACCAGAGACGGAGGCTCGTCTGACGTGACTCCACCGTGACTCAGGCCTCCTGCCTGCCGGCTTTGAGGGTGAGGATCTGACGGCGACCCTACAAGAGGCCCTGGGGGTATGGTGGGTCAGGCTCCTAACAGAAGGTTGGTGGTTCAAATCCACAATCTGCTCTGAGGGAGAAAGACAGACAGACTCCTCTCATACCACCCTGGAAACATACGGGAGTGTCTCCGTGAGTCAGAATGGACTGACGGCAGGGGGCTTGGTCTCGGTTCTGAGGACTGATGAACTTAACAGGAGGAGACCGGAAGTGAGAGGAGCACTCGTGAGACAAGCTGTGTGTGGGGGGCGGAGGGGGCCTGGGGGCTCGCGATTCACCACTGACATGCTTGCTGGTCATTTCTGAGTCCACTCAACTTTGGACATCCCTGTGCTGGCTGCACTGACCTTGACTTCAGCCCGCAGGCTGGGGCACCCACGCTGGACATGCCCCACGCCAGCCAGGCAGCCTCAGAACACCAAGCACCTCTCTGCCCAGCGGTAGCACCCAGGGACAGCGTGTTTGTGGAGCGAGTGAGTGGAAGGGGAGGTGGACGAATAAACCACCTGGGCAGTGGCTGCAAACAGGGAGGAACACACTCTCTGAGACCCAGCGGGATCTAAAGGGGGGCCCGTGAGGGAGGCAGGGTCCACCTGCGGGGACGGGAGCGGGCTGGGCGGCGCAAGGGGAACACTGTCCCAATTACAAGACCTTCACATCGGCCAGCCGTCCCTCCTTCTGCCAGTCCCACACGGACAGCACGTGGTCATTGGAGTCGTCCACCGCACACAGGTTGCTGCCGCCATTCTGGAAAAGGAGGACACTGTGGGTCGATGGAGAGATTGTGGGGTCCATGGAGAGAATGTGGGGTTCATGGAGAGATTGTGGGGTCCATGGAGAGAATGTGGGGTCCATGGAGAGAATGTGGGGTCCATGGAGAGAATGTGGGGTCGATGGAGAGATTGTGGGGTCGATGGAGAGAATGTGGGGTCGATGGAGAGATTTTGGGGTCCATGGAGAGAATGTGGGGTCCATGGACAGAATGTGGGGTGGCATGACTAAACAGGGATGGACTTCACTTCTGATAACAACGCTATCCCACTGTGAAACCAGAGTCAAAGAGGAGCAGTCAGAGACCTGAGGATTTACAGCCCTGGAAATGCTGAGGGGCAGGTCCACTCCATCCTCCAGGGCCACCAGGAGCCAGAGTCCACATGTGTGTGCGCCTCTGAAACCTGCTTACTGGTCCCGATGGGGAGAGCAGGGAGTCAGGACTGTGGGTGAGGGGGCAGGGACAGTGGATGGAGGTGACAGAAGGATGCTCCTCCCACCAGGCTCCCTGAAACTGGCCCCAAAGGCGCTGCAGAGCCTTCTCCTGAAGACAGTGACCTGCGGCACCCCTGGGGCGGGGCTGAGACAGTGGCCTGCAGCACCCACAGTGTGGAGCTGACAGTGGCCTGCAGCACCCACAGTATGACGCTGACAGTGGCCTGCAGCACCCACGGTGCGGGGCTGTCACTCCCGTGTCCTGGGAGCCCTGCAGACAGCATGAGGCACACGCACCAGGCATGGACACACGTGGGCATGTCAGCTGTAGGATGACTGGAGGGCTATGGTCAGCCGGTCCTGCAGAGTCTGGGGTCTGGGCTGTCTGCTTCCCTACAGTCACAGGCTTGAAAACCGTGTGGGGTGGCCCCTGCTCACAACCAGACGTGGGGGTCACGGGGCAACGTTGGGGGCAGTGGTTAAGTCCTTCCTTTCCAGCCACGGGCGACAGCTGGGGTGGTAGCTAGTGATGCCGACTTGGAGGTGTGACTTCAGGGGAATGTGTGACCGGTGAGTGTGAGGCAGTGTGAGCCCACACACACCTGGCAGGTGTCACCTGGGGCACACGTGCCAGCAGCGTGAATGGGCCGAGCCCCCCACCCCACCGCCCCCGGGACGTTCACCTCATACGTACAGACTTGGAGAACGCGATACAGCTGACAGCTCTGTCGAAGAACCCGATTCCAAGGACATGCAGTGTATTCAATGACACGGAGTCCCAGATGCGCACATGTGGGGGCAATTGCTATTAAAGAAATTAAAAAGACAGGAAAAGCATGCCATCAACCACAGTAACGATTACACAGATAGCCCTTTACCTGGAAGCTCAAAAGATTACCTCACCAGTAATTCCAATCTTGTCTAAACAAGCCTTTTTCTGCCCTGGAGGAGCCCGCCTTCTGATGCGAACAAATGCCTCTGTGGCGTCCCAAGGCCGCGGCACGCCTGGCCGTTTAACGTCCACTGAGCTCCAAGGGACGCAAGGGACGCCCCGTTCTGTTCCTCGCCAACCCAGGGCATCCACACTGACACCCGGTGGTGACCCCGAGTGGCACTGCACATCCTGCCGCTGTCCAGCAGTGTGTGTGCTCACAGTCCCGGTCTGCATGCCTCCCCCTGGCCAGTCTACGCCACTCTGACCTTCACCACGCTCTCAACGCACTCACTCACTCCTGCCATGCCGGGCCAGCTCCTAGCGACACTCTGCTGGCTTCCTGAGACAGTGAGTGTAGCAGGAGACGTGTGACAGTGGACCGTCAAGACGGTACCCCGTGAAGGTCCCTGTGGCTCACCCTCGTGTGACAATCACTTCACTGCATGGCCTGGAACTGGCCCACACACCTCCGAGCTCGGCCTCTACCAAGTCAGACAGCTGAACAATCACCTCAGGGCTGCTGGGAAGGAACCAACGCCCTGCTGATCCATCAAGGGCTTTCCCAGGCTGTTCCGGTCATTTAATCTGCACACGTAGATATTTCCACATGAAAGACAGACTCTCAAATGGGGGCTAGTCTCTTCAAGTGGTCCTGCTGTGAAACAGGCACATCCGAGGACACAGAGGCGGCCACTCCCATTATGAGGCAAAGTGCCCTCGAGTCGCTGGCGACTCATAGTGACCCTGTGTACAACAGCCCTAAACCCTGCTCTATCCTGTGCTAATCGCACTGCCTCTGATATACCCATCCTGATTACCCCAGTCACTTAATCAATCCACCTCATAGAGGGTCTTCCCCTCCTGCGCCATCCCTCCACCCTCCCAAGCATGATGTCCTTTTCCAAGAACCCGTCTCTCCTCACAACATGTCCAAAGTATGTTAGACGGTGTCTCAGAATCCTTGCCTCCAAGGAGCCGCCTGGTTTAACCCTTTCCAGGACAAATCTGTTTGTTTTCCTAGCAGTCCATGGTATTCTCAATACTCTTCTCCAGCACCACAGCTCAAAGGCATCAATTCTCCTTCTATCCTCCTTGGTCATTGTCCAACTCTCTGATGCATAACAGGTGATTGCGAAGACCATGGCCTGTATCAGATGCACCTCAGTCTCCAGAGAGACACCATTGCTCTTCAGTACTCTGGAGAGGTCCCTAACAGCAGACTTTCCCATGGCAATGCGCCTTTTAATTTCCTGACTACTGGTGCCAAGAGTGCTGACTGTGGAGCCAAGCAAACTAAAGCTGTGTACAATCTCAATCTCTTCACCATCCATCCTGATGTTGCCAATTGGTGCAGTGGGAGAATCTTTGTCTTCTTGACATTAAGCCTCAATCCATATTGGAGGCTGCAGTCCTTGACCCTCTGCAGCAAGCGCTTCAGGTCCTCCTCAGCACTCCAATCTACACAAATAAAATTCAGAGTTGCTATGAGTGAAAAGTCCTTCACTGAGGCCCTAGGAGCCATTGGGTGGACTCCAATGCCCAGCGATGCTATGAACAATGTACCGGAACCCCGTGCTATACTGCACTGTCTGCACTGTCTTGGGTATGTTCACGTCCACTGTCACAGTCGTCGTGTCAATGCATCGTGTTGGAGGTCTTCCTCTCTTTCGCTCACCTTTCCCAGCGTCATGTGTTTCCCCGAGGACTGACCCCTCCTGACCACACATCTGAGGCAGAGGAGCAAATCCCTCCCTCCATGCTCTGAGGAGCAGCCTGCATGCACTTTCTCCAAGACGTGGTGGCTTGCTCTTTCGGCGGTCACGCAGTGCTCAGTGTCTTCAGCCTGTCATGTTGCGGACGTGGTGGCTTCCTCTCTCTCGGCGATCTCCTGATACTCAGTCTCTTCAGCCTGTCACACTGCAGATGCGCTGGCTTGCTCCCTCAGCGATCACATGATACTCAGTGTCCTCTCCAACACCACAACTGGAAGGCACCAACCTGTCTTTGACCTTCTTTACTCACTGTCCAGTGCTCAGACGCATAAGAAGCCAACGCAAATACCATGACTTGGATCAAGTGCACTAAAGACTAAGGTCTTTAAGTTGCTCTCCTTGCTCTTGAGCTCTGGAGTTGGGACCCTTGGGTGTTTACAGTTAGTTTTTGATTGAAACACACAATTATCCACTAACTGGAGTTTAGTATCTTCCTTTTCTCTGGCGGCACACCTAACGGAGAGCTGTACCTCTCTGGAGTTTTGCACCCACCAGCAGTTCAGCGGGAGCGAGACGGTCAATCTCCTCCTATGTGATTTACGGTCTCAAACCCAAAGGAGGCTCGGCTGGAAGTCGGTTCTGACTGCACAGCACTGAGAGGGTGATGCTGTATTAATTTCTTGTACTGGCAATTCTATCTAGAAGCAATCAGCAAGGGGTGACCAGCCGGTTTATAAAAGGCTGAGCACTGTGTGCGGTGGGCAGATGTGCTCAAGTGAGCTGTGCCCCAGTTTGGACTGGTCACTCAGTTGTTGGCTCTCAGGACCTGAATCCTCCTGGACATAGAGAGGAAGGACTCACACAGAGAGCTGTACCATCTCCTCGGCTCCAAAGTCCTGGTTCACTTTCAAAAAAGCCAGAGAGTGAAATATACTTCTCTGCCATGAGAGGGAGGACAAATGATTCACTCTCACCTCTAAGAGTGTCTCCTTTTCTTAACAAAATTAACTGTGGTAATTAATTGTGGTAAACACATGTCCACGGAATTCTGCTGGGGTGCAGGACACCTCAGGCTGCCAAAGGAAAGGCTGGCGGCTTGAATGGACAGGCTGCTCCTCGGGAAGAAGGTGAAGTCGCCTCAGGTAAAGGTCTACGTCTGTGGAAACTCATGTGGGTCTGCCGCTGCGAGCTGGAATCACTGGACCTCAGTGCAGGTGGTCGTGGACACACACACTATAAAGAACTGGCCTAGGCCTTCTGACAGGAGTAAACCATGAACATGCTTGTGTGTGTTTATACACGGGTCTGATTTCCTTGGTTCTTTCCACTTCTTGGCAAGTGTAGAATTTTGAGTTAAAACAGCATAAAATAATTTGAAATATTGAATAAACCATGGACTGCTAAGAGAACAAACAGGTCTGTCTTGGGGAAGGTGAACCCACGTTTCTCCTTGGCGGCTAGGATTTTGAAGCTTTGTTTTACAAACTTTGGGTATGTGGCCAGGACGGACTGATCCTCAGAAAAGTCCATCATGCTCGGAGGGGTGGAGGGACAGTGCAGGACAGGAAGACCCTGGGTGAGATGGATTGATACAGTGACTGGGGCAGTGGGGCAGGCGTGTTAGAAGCAGTGAGACTGGCTCAGGACAGGGCAGGCTTCAGAGTTGCTATGAGTCACGGGTGACTTGATGGCACAGAACAACAGCAACATTATTAAGCTATTTTCTTAACGCTATGGCAGCCTCCCCCTCTACTATGGATGCTGGCTATGACACGACGGCTGTAATAGATCGGGAAATAAGTGGGTGCCCTGGGGAACGGTGGTTAAAGACTCAGCTGGCAACGGAAAAGCTGGGGTTCAAACCCCCAGCTGCTCTGCGGGAGGAAGACGGGCTGTCTGCTCTGGAGAGCCAGAAGCCTGTGCGGAGGGCGGCTCTGTCCTAGGTGACCGCTTCGAGTGGAATCCACTCAATCACAAATCTGTTTGTTACAGGTTCAACAAACAGGTTTGTCCTAGAGAGGCTGAAACCAGGCTGCTCCTTGGAGGCAAGGATTCTGAGGCTCCGTCTAACATACTTTGGACATGTTGTGAGAGACTGGTCCTTGGAGAAGGACATCATGCTTGGGAGGGTGGAGGGACGGTGCAGGAGGGGAAGGCCCTCCATGAGATGGACTGATTCAGTGACTGGGGTTATGGGGGAGGTGTGCTGGAAACAGTAAGACTGGGGTTCAAGAATACAGTAAGAGCAGGGTTTAGGGCTGTTGTATATAGTGACTTGATGGCACATAACAACAACAGTGGGAAATAAATAATTGGAAGTCAGTTTTCAATCGCTCTTGACTCAATTACCCGGTTACTGGCCCTGGTTCCCTCTCTAGTCTTGCAATGAGCTTACGGAATGTGCGTGGAAAGCTTCCTGGATGCTTGTGGAAATACCCACAGACACCCTGGCTCCCAGGCTGAGGTCCGGCAGCCAGGAGAGAGTGTGCCAAGAGGCAAAATGTCCACGGTCTGGACCTTGATTAAGTGTGAACCTTGGGAAGTTCATTACTTATGCAAATACGTATAGTGAGAATTCTGGCGGCCAAGGCAAACACAAGGGGAGACAACGTTTCACCGGCAGGGATGGGAGCTCAAGTGATTTCCAAGGTCTTTGTGGGCTTTTTCCTAGTAAATGTATCTAACGGAGATGAAGAAGGATTCAGATGCTGTAGCCATCTCTCAGCAGGCTTATCCAATGGCAAGATGACGCTTTTAGAAAATGACACTGAGGCACCAAAAACGAGAGGGAAGACAAGAACTCACTTTGCCGTCCTTAGAAGTACCAGCGACTTGTCCTGTTGCTATGGTGATCTTGTCAGGATGAACTGCTAGGCTGGAAAAAAGGGTATTTATGAGAAAAAAAAATACCCCAAACATTGCACATTATGGATACACTTTCCTTTTCCTTCATCAAATATAATCTAGTCCCACATTTAAATCTCTAAATTCTTACGGATTCTGAGTCCAGTCTCTTCTCTCCAGCGAACAGACAAATGGATACACTTGATTTCATTTCCATTTCTTCCCAAAGGTTTTGAAATGGGAAAAGCATCCTTTGCCGAGGAAAGGACACTCCCCTCTCAGAGGCCCCCAGCCAGCGTGTACGCATTTAACCAGTCACCCTGCCGGCACCATGAGCGAGATGCCACCTTCTGTTAACAGGACTTTGGAACTGACCCAGCCCTTACAGCAAGAAATGTGGCAGGACGCACCCACGCAGCCCTCTAGGACACACTCAGTCCCTACGGGAAGCTGGAAACAACAGCCCAGCCATAAACAAAGCAGAACAGTCTTGTTTACAACATAAAGACCCCAAAATACAGCAAAATAAAGCGTGTGGCTGTCGCTGGCGAGGCCACTGTGCAAGTCCACTCGCGGGAGCGGCGGGGGCTGGCCCAGGAAGCTGCTCTGGGGAGGATGAGTGCAAGCTGTCTGCACTAACCCTGTGTGTCCAGCGGCCACACGCTGTCTGCTCCCTAGAGCAGAGTACTGTGGGTGGTACCAGAGACTGAGCACTGGACTGTGAGCACAAAGGTTGGCAGTTCAAATCCTACAGATCACGAAAACACTCTGGAGCAGGCCGATACCGGCATAGCAGGCTGCCGGAAGTTGGAGCATGTAATTGGCTTTGTACTTTGAGTTTTTTTGTCAGATAACAAGTAGACGAGGGCCCCAGTGGCTCTGTCGGTTAAGCATGGACGGCTAACTGAAAGCCCACCCACCGCTCTACAGGATCAGGCCGACTCCACTGGCCCAGGACCCCGCGGGCAGCGCACTCCCACCGGCCCACCAGCACGTGGGATCTACTCCACGTGCACTTCAGGCTTTGCTTAACACCCCATTTCCTCAGACCCTGTTTCTTCTCTTTGGTATTGGCCATTGTGCAGCTGAGAAGACCACATCTGTCCTTGTCCGTGCTCACACGCCTTCTGTTTCTGCCCCTGTGCCTTCTGTGTCCACTCCCATGTCCCTGTGCCCACATATCTCCTGTTCTCACCCCCGTGCCCACACACCTCCTGGTACCTCCTCTGTGCCCCCTGCACCTCCTGTGCTCACTCCTGTGTCCCTGCTGTGCCTGTTCCCGTATCCCTGTGCCCCCATGCCAGCCATGCCTGCTCCATGCCCACGTGCCTCCTGTTCCTGCTCCCATGCTCCTCCTGTGCCCTCTCCCGTGTCCCTGTGCCCCATGCTCGCAGTGCCCACTCCTGTGCCCACTCCAGTATCCCTGCGACCCTGTGCCTCCTGTTCCTGCTCCCATGCCCCTGCTGTGCCCTCTCCCATGTCCCTGTGCCCTCGTGCCTGCTCCAGTGCCCACTCCTGTGCCTTCTGTTCCCGCCCCCGTGCCCACACACCTCCTGTTACCTCCTCTGTGCCCCCTGTACCTCCTGTGCTCACTCCTGTGCCCTTGCTGTGCCCGTTCCCATGTCCCTGTGCCCCCATGCCTGCTCCAGTGCCCACTCCTGTGTGCCTCCTGTTCCTGATCCCATGCCCCTGCCATGCCCTCTCCCGTGTCCCTGTGCCCTCTCCCCTGGCCCTGTGCCCTCTCGCATGTCCCTGTGCCCCTGTCGTGCCCTCTCCCATGTCCCCGTGCCCTCTCCCTTGTCCCTGTGCCCCTGCCGTGCCCTCTCCTGTGTCCCTGTGCCCTCTCTGCTGTCCCTGTGCCCTCTCCCGGGTCCCTGTGCCCTCTCCGCTGTCCCTGTGCCCTCTCCCGTGTCCCTGTGCCCTCTCCTGTGTCCCTGTGATGTCTCCCGTGTCCCTGTGCCCTCTCCCGTGTCCCTGCTGTGCCCTCTCCCGTGTCCCCATGCCCTCTCCCGTGTCCCCGTGCCATCTCCCGTGTCCCTGTGCCGTCTCCCCTGTCCCTGTGCCCCTGTGCCCTCTTCCGTGTCCCTGCTGTGCCCTCTCCCGTGTCCCTGTGCCC